AGGATCCCCCCAGCCCTGCTGCCCACGATCCCTGCGGGACCAGCCCAGGGCACGGGGGGTTCTGGGGGCCAGAGCACACGGCCGGAGCACGTCCAGCCTCTCACCCTCCAGCACCCCCAAGTCCTTCTCCCCAGGGCTGCTCTCCATCCATTCCACTCCCAGGCTGGCTTTGTGTCTGGAATTGCCCCGGTCCAGGAGGAGCACTCGTGATTCCAGCTTCAAGCAAAGCTGCCGAAGGTCTAATGACAGCCATACAAACCGCTGCTTTCTTGGAGGAAAAAACAATAAACTTCCTTTTCCCCTGTCTTTTTAGGTTGTCAGTTAAACGTTTGGAGAAGGACCCGAGCCCAGGAAAGTGGGAGTTGCCCTGAGAGGCTCGTCCGTGTGATTCAGGTACCGGGATCTGTTGGGACTGACTGTGGGATGGAGCACAAATGCTCTTTTCAGGTGCCTGTTTCTTACACTCCCAGAACTGGTCCTGAATGTTTCTTTTATGATGAACCTGTGGCCTGGAGCAGTGATTTCTGCATTTTACGTCGTGTATTGGACATGGAAAAATATTGCTGTGAGATAGATACACTCCTCTACTTAAAATTCCCACAGAATGGCATCGTGGTGCGACACAGCCCTTGGCTGGGGAAGGTGAATCCAATTATGGAATGGTTTGGGTAGGAAGGGACTTTAAAGAACATTTAATTCCCCTCTCACTGCCGCGGGCAGGGACACCTTCCACCAGCCCAGGTTGCTCCAAGCCAAGACAGCGGCACAGACGCAGCCCTGGGGTCCCCCCTGACCTCCTGCCCCTCTCCCACGACAATCCCCCCTCCCAGGGCACAAGAACCGGGGAGAGGCAGCAGGAAAAGTGGAACAGGACCGGGACACCAGGGTGCAGATGGAGGGAAGGAGGAGGAGGGAAGGGCTCCTCGGGAAGAGCAGGAGCACCGAGGGTCTCCCCCCCACCCCGAGCCCCAGAGCTCCGCAGAGAACCCGGAGGTGTCAGCTGGTTTTTATTGTCGGATTTCAACAGCAACAACCTCCAAACACTTCCAGGATGTCCTTGGTTTGTCCATGGAGGGGTCTTGCACACGGGGAGCTGGGAGAGGCGGCTCTTCTCCAGCTGGATATCCCGGGAAAGAGCCCTTCCCGAAAACACACGGCGAGAAAAGCTCCGGCCGCGGGGGCCACCAGTCCAGGGGAAATAAATACACGGAGCATCCGGAGGATCCATCCCTACCAGGGATCCTGGGAGCCCCCCTGGGCCGTCCAGCCACTGCCACCCCTGGGTGGGGGGGGTCTCAGGAGGCTGTTTGAGCTGTGGGACCCCTCCCCAGGGGAGAAAAGGGCAAGGCCTGGCCCTCGCCCACCCCCAGGGCTCCCTGTGGGGGCTGCTGGGGCACCGTGTCCTGTGTGACCTCCAGAGCTGGGACGGGGAAGGGGGGACAGGCGCTGGGGGAGCTCTGGGCACTCACCCTGGGGGGGCTGGCGTGTCCCCTCTGCCCCATCCCAGGTCCCTGCTCCAGCCTGGGCTCTGAGCATCCCTGCGAGGAGCCCTTTGAGAGCACTCCCAGAGCTCCAGCAGTGCAGCCCCAGCTCCCCTCTCCTTGCCCTGGGCCTGGGGGCTGAGACCCCCCCCCCCAGGAGAGCAGAGGCCCCTGAGCCTCCCTGAGTGGGCTGGGCACTCCTCCCAGCCCTGGTAAGGGCTGCACAGCCTCGGGATTGATCCCAGCCCTGGTAAGGGCTGCACAGCCTCGAGATTGATCCCAGCCAGGGCTGCACAGCCTCGGGATCGATCCCAGCCAGGGCTGCACAGCCTCGGGATCAATCCCAGTCCCAGCCAGGGCTGCACAGCCTCAGGATCAATCCCAGTCCCAGCCAGGGCTGCACAGCCTTGGGATCAATCCCAGTCCCAGCCAGGGCTGCACAGCCTCGGGATCAATCCCAGCCCCCACACCCCTGGGAGCAGAGCCTGAAGGGGACCAGAGGAGGACTGAAGGAGAGGGCCCAGCAGCAGCAGCAACAGGGAGGAGATGCCCCCCGAGCTGCCCAGGGCCGTGAGGAGGAGGAGATGATGCCCCCTGAGCTGCCCAGGGCCGTGGGGAGGAGGAGATGATGCCCCCTGAGCTGCCCAGGGCCGTGAGGAGGAGGAGATGATGCCCCCTGAGCTGCCCAGGGCCGTGGGGAGGAGAAGATGATGCCCCCTGAGCTGCCCAGGGCCGTGGGGAGGAGAAGATGATGCCCCCTGAGCTGCCCAGGGCCGTGAGGAGGAGGAGATGATGCCCCCTGAGCTGCCCAGGGCTGTGGGGAGGAGAAGGCCATGGGGCCAGGGAGGGCTGGGAGGTGGGAGAGGCTCCTGTCCCTCAGGCTCCCAGCAGCTTCTTGACCATGTAGCCCGGCATGCTGTAGAGGAACAGGGCGACCATGACGAGCAGCAGCAGGGCCAGCACGATCTTGATGATGAGCCACTTGTAGCGGGTGCAGATGAGGTACTTGATGGACTTGAGTGGGTTCAGGAACCAGATGAAGGACGTGTCCGGGCGGCTGAGGGGCAAGGGAGGGGTTATTCCAGCACCAGGGTTATTCCCACACCTCCCTGCGTGCCCAGAGGAGCCCCCAGATCCCTGGAAGTGTCCCAGGCTGGGTTGGACGGGGCTTGGAGCAGCCTGGGCCGGTGGGAGGGGGAAGTGGATGGGCTTTAAGGAGGCCCCTTCCCACCCAGACCAGCCAGTGATGCCCTGATTCCATGGCATTCTCCATGGGGAAAGGGATGAAGGAAAAGCAGCAGGGCAGGAAGAGCAGGCAGTGGGAGAAGCACTAAAGATGGCTCTGCCCGTGACGCCCATTCCCACATCCCTCACTCCAGAGGGACCATCCCACCACACCTCCCAGAGTCAGAGATCCCAGACTGCTCTGGGTGGGAAAGGATCTTAAAACCCATCCAGTCCCACCCCCTGCCACGGGCAGGGACACCTTCCACTAGCCCAGATTGCTCCAACCCGGCCTGGGACACCCCAGGGATCCAGGGGCAGCCACAGCTTCCCTGGGAATTCCAGCCCAGCCCCTCCCCACCCTCCCAGCCGGGAATCCCTTCCCAATCTCCCATCTGTCCCTGCCCTCTGGCACTGGGAAACCATTCTCTGTGTCCTGTCCCTCCATCCCTTGTCCCCAGTCCCTCTCCAGCTCTCCTGGAGCCCCTGCAGGCTCTGGAAGGGGCTCTGAGCTCTCCCTGGATCCTTCCCTTCTCCAGGTGAACATTCCCAGCTGTCCCAGCCTGGCTCCAGAGCAGAGGGGCTCCAGCCCTGGAGCAGCTCCGTGTCCCCCTCTGGCCTCATTCCCACGGCCCCAGAGCTGGATGCAGCACTCCAGGGGGACAGGAGCCCACCCCCCGGGGAGCTGCTGCACGGAGGGGCCTCCCACTCACTTGGGTTTCTCCAGGGGGTCGGGCTCGTTCCGGGCCAGCCCAGCGGGAGATTTCTCTGCCTCCTCGGCCGTCAGAAGGTGCAGCTCAGCCTCCACTTTGCCCTGCAGGGGAGCCCAGAGCTGTGCTGAGACCCGGGCCAGGCTCGTGGAGACAGAGGGGTCCCGGGGCAATGCGGTGCTGGGGGGGTGGGAGTGTCTGCAGGGAGGGTAGGATTGACCCCCCCCCCGGGGCGCAGAACCCCCTTACCGTGACCTCCAGCTCGTCGTTCTCGTCCCTGGCCACGAAGGGCCACCAGCCCTTCACCCTCTTCTGCTTGAAGATGGAGATCATGGGCAGCTCGGCCTCCTTGGTCACCATCTCCAGGCTGCACTGCTTGGACGTCTTGGCCCCCCGGGGGAAGCGGTTCAGGTCCAGCTCGATGGCCCCTGCCCGGGCACAGGGGGGGGCACGGGGCTTGGCAACCCCCGAAACGCTGCAGAGGGGGCTGCCCCAGCAGCTCCCGCCCCGGGGAGGAGCTCTGGGCCAGCCCTGGGAGCCAGCAGGGCTCCCACAATCCTGGGATCAGCCGGGTTGGGAAAGCCCTCCCAGCCTATGGATTCCCCCCGTGCCCCATCCCCACCCTGTCCCCCAGCCCAGAGCACTGAGTGCCTGCCTGGGACACCTCCAGGGCTGGGCACTCCAAACCTCCCTGGGCAGCCCCTGCCAGTGCCTGACCACCCTTTCCAGGGACAAATTCCTCCTGATGTGCCCCCTGCCCCTCCCCTGATCCCACAACCCACGGATCCAGCCCATCCTGATCCCTCAGCCCAGGGATCCAGCCCGTCCTTATCCCTCCGCAGCGCCTTCCTGCCCTGCCCTGCCCTCCCCGCCTCCCCTCCCTCCCTCCCGTCCCCTCCCCTCCCACCGGGTCTCCTCCGTCCCCCCTCGGGCTCACCCAGGAAATCGTCGGCCGAGAAGTGATCGGCGTCCCAGACCTGCAGGGTGAGCCGGGCCGGGATCTTGTACTCGGTCTCGTCCCAGGAGAACATGGACTCCTTCTTGGAGATGACGATCTTCTCCTCGGCCATCAGGTAGTCGAAGGGGAAGATGTACCTCCAGTTGAAGTTGCCCTCCCCGGTGAGCGAGTGGTAGTGGACGTCGGTGTCCTGCTTGTCCTCCTGCTGACCCTTCAGCCACCTGCGGGGCCGGAGGGGCGAGGGGGGACGCGGGTCAGGGGGGGCAGGAGCACCCTGTGCCTGCAGCCAGGACTGGGGACACGGGTTATGGGGGCAGGAGCACCCTGTTCCTGCAGCCAGGACTGGGGACACGGGTTATGGGGGCAGGAGCACCCTGTTCCTGCAGCCAGGACTGGGGGGACACGGGTTATGGGGGCAGGAGCACCCTGTTCCTGCAGCCAGGACTGGGGGGACACGGGTTATGGGGGGCAAAGGGGCTGCTCCGGGCACTGCTGCAGCGTCTCCAAGGGGCACCACGCCGGGCTCAGGGGCCGGGGGGGACAGGGAAGTTTGGGAGAAGGAGATGCAGGTGGGTTGTCTGGGGGCAGGGAGGTGTTAAGGAACGGGAGCTGGGAGCGCTGCTGGAGCAGAGCAGGCTGGAAAGGGATCACAGGAGAGCTGGAGAGGGACAGGACACAGGGAATGGCTTCCCAGTGCCAGAGGGAGATTGGGAAGGGATTCCCGGCTGGGCTGGAATTCCCAGGGAAGCTGTAGCTGCCCCTGGATGATCCCTGGAGTGTTGGATCCCCTGGGATAGCGGGAGGTGGGAGGTGCCAGGGCACCCACCCCCTGACGAAGATGTCGCTGGACTTCTCGCCGGTGAAGTAGTCGTCGTCCTCGAGGATCACCTCGTCCGTGTTCCACACGATCACCCGCAGCTCGTACCTGGCAGGGGGAAGGGGAAATCCAGGAGAGGGGCAGGGAGGGGAGCGGGGGGTGGGGGTGGGGGGCAGCCAGAAAGGAGGGACAGGCACCGGGATCTCACAGGGATCAACCGAGGGGTTGTGAGGGCAGGAACAGGAGGGGATCTCGACCAGGGAGGTGATGGGAGGGATGGGACTGTTCCCATGGAGCCAGGCTGGGAGAGCTGGGATTGTTCAGGTGGAGAAGGGAAGGATCCAGGGAGGGCTTGGAGCCCCTTCCAGAGCCTGCAGGGGCTCCAGGAGAGCTGGAGAGGGACTGGGGACAAGGCATGGAGGGACAGCACACAGGGAATGGCTTCCCACTGCCAGAGGGCAGGGACAGATGGGAAGGGATTCCCGGCTGGGAGGGTGGGGAGGGGCTGGGCTGGAATTCCCAGGGAAGCTATGGCTGCCCCTGGATCCCTGGCAGTGCCAGGTTGGATCCAACTTGGATAGTGGGAGGTGTCCCTGCCCGTGGCAGGGGATTGGAATTAAATGATCTTTAAGGTCCCTTT